GTACCGTTCTCCGCCCGTCAGTCACCAAGCTCGCTCCACTACTCGCAAAGTGCCCACTCGCAAACGTCCGAAACAAAATACGCTCGCTTCGACGAGAGTTCTCGTAGATCCCCCGCGGCGGATCCAGGCCATTTGCGAGCAGCCACTTTGCGAGTAATTCGCGAACGCGCTCGTCGAGTTAAACCATGCGCGCGGGCGGCGCCCGAGGGCCTCGTGGAGCGCCCAGGGGTCCAAGCACTGGGAGGCCGCGCGCGCGCGGGGGCGCTGCGCCGCGAGCGCGGCGGCCGGGAGCAGAAAGGAGCCCGCCGGAGCTCCTCCGGCGCCGCGGCGTGCTGACTGCGGCCGGGGCCTGCCGGCGTGGTCGGCGGAGCCGCCTGCTGGGCGCTTCAACCGCAGCCTTGGCAGCCGAGGGCCCGCCCTGAGACGCGGGCCCCAAGAGTATACACCGCCACCACGTCGATTCCTCCTCCCCCCCCTACCCTCACACTCCTCTCCCCTGTCCTGGGAGAGGGAGGGGGCGGAGGAGCTGGAGGCGTGTTCGGGGCCCAAGTGAGACCTCGGCGTCGCAATTGCTTCGAGTCGGGCATGTTTTTGGACGCCCGAAATGGGTACGGAAAAAATGGGTACAATGCCCAACAACAAATGTTGTCCCAAACCAACAGCGGCCGCTGTTGGGCAGGCGGCCTTCCGTCTCGAATGGACACAGGCCGCGGCGGCGTGGACAGCGAATCCTGTTCAAAATGAACAGGAACTGCTGTTGGGTATTGTACCCATTCTTTCTGTACCCACTTCAGGCGTCCAGAATGTTCGCCAGGCCTCGGACCGCGGGAGCCTCACAGCTCGGCCCGGCTCGGAAAACGACGCGGGCAGGTGGGGTCTGGGGCTCCGGCCCGAGCTTCCAGCGGTGTCTCTCAATGTTGTTCGCGGCGTCGAACCTCAGGGTGCACTGGGTTAAGGAGGAGGAGGAGGAGGAGGAGGAGGAGGAGGTCGCGCTTATTTGCCTAAGTGCTCCCTTCGGGGATGCGACTTTCGTTGTCGCTCATGCAAAGTTCCCACAGTTCCTCCTCCTCCTCCTCCTCCTCCTCCTCCTCCTCCTCGGATTGCTGGTGCGTCCAGGCAGGGGCGGCCCGACGCCCTGCCATCCTGGCGCAGGCTGGGGGCACATCGCAGGCGCGCTCCCGCCACTCCGCGGCAGAGTCGCGCCACTCTCTAGGAGTCACCCCGGCCGTCCTCCAGGCAGCGGCCCAGGCTGCGGGCGGCAGCGCCGTCAGCGCAGAGGTCTGGACGCCCACTCCTCCATGCCAAGCAGGCCACCCAAGGCGAAGCTCTTGGGAGGCGCCTTCAGGATACTATGCATGGCGCCAAGCTCCTATTTGATAGGGTCTTCCGGCAAAAAGCAGGAGCTGGGCCAGGTAGCTGAGGACATGTCGCTGTGTGGTGTGATCAGTTCTGCCGTCGCCGCCAGCACGGTCTTGAGAACGGCCGCGCGCTGCTTGTACCTCGTGGCGGCAGCTTGCCAAAAATCCACGAGGGCTGACCCCGGGCCCGGCACGAACCCGAGGCCTTACTTCCAGGCCATGGAGCGCCTCGCATGTTTTCGCCTGCAGCCGCGGAAGTGAGTCTTGGTGCTGCTGTGGCTGGCCGCCGCTGACCTGCCAGCTGCCCTCATGCCCATCCCGCTCGGCTCTCAGCGAAATCGCCCATGGCTGGTCCGACTTTGTCAGGAGGAGGAGGCGGAGGAGGAGGAGGAGGAGCAGCAGCAGGAGGAGGTGGTGCATCACTCGCGCAGGGCGAAAATCTGTAGCTCAACAACAATACTGTCTACTGATCCCCCGTTCCTCTCCTGGGAGCGCTCTGACCACAATGTCGGGGCAGATCCAGCCGTGGCCACGAAGAGCCGCCAGGAGGCCCAAAGAGGCCAGACTCAACAAAGTGTTTCCTCCCTCTTCCTTCCTCCTCCCTCCAGGGGCAGGGGGGGGGAGGCAGGCGGACAACGACGACGACAAAGACGACGACGACAAAGACGACGACGACGACGACGACGACGACGACGACGACGACGACGACGGCTACAGACAGACTGCCCCGTTGCGCTCGGAGCCGACCTCGGAACCCCTCCTGGACAACGTCCTGACCAGACTTCCCAACTGCTTCCCGCCCTGGCCGCGCGGGAGGCCCCCCGAAGTCCCAGAAAGGGACAACGTGGAGGAGGAGGAGGAGGAGGAGGAGGACGACGACGACGACGACGAGGACGACGAGGACGACGTCGACGACGAGGACGACGACGACGACGACGACGACGACGACGACGAATAGGACGACGACGAGGACGACGACGAGGACGACGACGACGACGAGGACGACGACGAGGACGACGACGAGGACGACGAGGATGACGACGAGGACGACGACGACGACGGGAGGGGCGGGCAGGAGCCTTGCCCGGCCCCACGACGAGCGCCATGGCCGTCCTCGGCGTGGGCATCGGCGGAAAGGCGTCCTCGGGCGGGGGCGGCGGCGGGGCGGTGACAGGGGAGACGGAGAGGACGACGGCAAGGATGACGGCGACAACGTTTGGGAGGGCGGCGACGTCGGCAACGGCGGCGACGGCGAGGAGACAGCGACGGCGAAGACAACGAGGAGGGCGACGGCGACGGCAACGAGAAGGACGGTTCGCGGCGACGAGGCGACGAGGACGACGACGACGACGACGACGACGACGACGACGACGACGACGACGACGACGACAGCGAGAGGGAAAAGGGAATGGTGAGGGGGAGTGAGGGCGAGGGGGAGAGGGAGAGGGATGGAGAGGGAGGAGGACTGCATGGATGAATCAGCTCGTGGACTCCTGCTGGGAACGCCTGCCGACTAGCCTCTTGCCAGCTCAGCGCACCCGAGGAATCTGAGCTGGGCATCTGCGCACCCCACTGCAAGCGTTGATTTAGACCTGCGGCTCTCCGCTGGGGCGGCGCGGGCCAGGCTGGGGGGCCCCCGTGGCGGCACGCCACCGCTCAAGGGTCTCAGCTCTCGGGCACGAGGCTCCCTCCCATCCCCACGACCACCACTCCCACGACGAGAGCACCCCCCTCCCACGCCCTCTGCCTGGGGCTGTAGCCCTGGGTGCAAAAAAGTCTGCGCTTGCGGCAGATCCGCATTGGCAGACGTGGGAAAAGAGACGGGCGAACTCAAGGGAAAAAACCCTGTTCTTGCAGCTCTCGGAGAAGCACACTGCTGGAGAAGGTCGACGGAGGAGGAAGAAAAGGAGGAGGAGGAGGAGGAGGACCAGTGCAAACCCAAGTCTCATCAACGATGCTGGAATCAACCCTCCCTCCAAGCTCCCCCGTCAAAGGCCCCCACAAGGGTTCATTTCCACTGAAGGAAGTCCCTCGTTGGGAGACAACCGTTTGAAGACCCTGAAGCGCGCCAAGACAACAGTCTCGGGATTCAACACCGCGAATCAACGTAACTGGTGCGCCCTCACAATTCTGGGTCCCTCTAGAACACAATTTCTGGCAAATTGACCATGGAAATCGGTGAAACTACTGTACATGTTTAAGACGAAAGTGCGCGGCGCCAAAGCGAGAGCAACATGTTGAAAAAGAACCGCCCTCAATCCGTGAAACTGTTGCAATAATGTAAGACGAATGTACGCAGCACTCGGGCGAGAACCATATGTTGAAAACGACCCGCCCCCAATCCGTGAAACCCTTGCATGTGTTAGAAGGATTGTGCGCAGCGCTATGGCGAAAGGCCGTGAAACTCTTGCAATTGTTTGAAATGAATGTGCGCGGCGCTAAGGCGAGAATCACATGTTGAAAACTTTCAACATGAATCCGCGCGGTGCCCAGGCGAGTGCCGCATTTTGCAAACGACCCGCTCCCAATCGGTGAAACCATGTCAATTTTTGAAAAGGAATGCGCGCGGCGCTAAGGCGAGAGCCACATTTTGAAAACGACCCACCCTCAATCCGTGAAACTTTTGCAAATGTTTGAAATGAATGTGCGCGGCGCTGAGGCGAAGGCCACATTTTGGAAGCGACCCGCCCTTCATCTGTGAAACTGTTACCAGTGTTTAAGCGCCAGGGCCATAAATATTGAGGAAGTCTCAGGCGAAACGCACAGCCCGCAGTTTCGACCGGCCTCGGGGTGCGACAGGGAGGAGTCATGTAGAAGGAAAACGGATCGAGGAGGAGGAGGACGAGGAAAAGGAGGAGGAGGAGGAGGAGGAGGAGGGGGAGGAGGGGAGAAGAAAGGAGGGGAGGGGTGAGACGGGGGCTTGGAGACGGAGGGTGAAGGAGGGGGAGGAACGGTAGCGGGAGCGGGAGAGGAAATGGAAGGGGGAGGGCAGGAAACGAGCATCGAGGGACGCGTGAAAGGGGAAAGGCGTGGGCAAAATCCGCTGAAAAGCTGCATGTACCCAAAACCCCTCTGGAGAACATCCGGAACTCGTTTTTCCGAACTACGTCCAGCCGTGGCGACAAGGGACCCCCAAAAGGCGAAGACGGCAAAGCCCGCCACCCCCCCACCACTCTACCCGCGGACTGTTACATGCATCGCCCCTCCTTCCCGAGGCCACTTCCCTCGTGCCTGCTCGAGGATGGTTCCGAATCCCGCATGGCAGCGAATGGCGAACCCCCCATTCCACACGTGCCCGCTCGAGGCTGGTGCACTGAATGAATGGCAGCTAATACCCAAATCCCCATTGCGCGCGTACCCGCTCGAGGATGCTGCACTTCCCGCATGGCCGCTAGAGCCTGAACCCTCACTCCATGCGCGCCCGCTCGGGGATCATGCACTTCCCGCGTGGCTGTCTATTCCTAGGCCCCTCATCCCACGCGCACCCCCGCTCGAGGATCGTGCACTTCCCGCATTCCCAGGGCGATGCTCCCAAGCGCTCCAGGGCCTCCCAGGCAACCATTCCTCGTTGAGATCAATGGATACGTCCCGAGCTTCCAAGACGGCCGGTGCGGGCAACCAAGGACACCAAGATGACCCAAAGTGTCTCGAAGACCGCCCAAGATGGCCCCCAGGCGGCCGACCATTAATTCAAGACGGCCCAAGATGCCTCCAAGAGGGCCCAAAATGGCCACAAGAGGACCTCCAACAGGGCCCGAAGAAGCCAAAACCATCGATGTCCCGTGGGGTTCCTAATGAATTTCGCATTCTCGCCTTTTCGGGCTTCCTTCAGCTCAAGACGGCCCAAGAAGACTACACGACGGCCCTAGAGGCATCCAAGACAGTCCCGAGACGGCCCAAGAGGGCCTCCCGTGGGACCCAAGACGGCCCGTAAAGGCCATTCAACAGCCCAAAACTGCGCCGAGACGGCCTCACGACGGCCCCCAAAGACCATACGACCAAGAGGGCTCCAAGATGGCCCAAGAGAGCCCCAAGCCAGCATACAACGGCCCCAAGACGGCCGAAGAAGGCCCCAAGGAACTCCCAAGACTGCCCCTAGACGACCCAAACGAGGTGCCTCATCATCATCATCATCATCATCATCATCATCATCATCATCATCATCATCACCATCAGCAGCAGCAGCAGCCGCATCAGCATCAACATCAGCATCAGCATCAGCACCATCATCATCATCATCATCATCATCATCATCAGCATCATCATCATCATCATCATCATCATCATCATCAGCATCAGCATCATCATCATCATCATCATCATCATCACTATCACCAGCATCAGCATCAGCATCAGCATCAGCATCAGCATCAGCATCAGCATCATCATCATCGTCTTCATCATCAGCATCACCAACACCATTTTATTATTCATACTAGTATTACTCTTGTTCAGCATCATCCTCATCCTCATCATCATCATCAGCATCATCATCACCAGCATCAGCATCAGCATCATCATCCTCATCATCATCCTCATCAGCATCATCATAATCAGCATCATCATCAGCATCATCATGATCATCAGCATCATCGTCATCGTCATCGTCATCGTCAATGTCATCATCATTAGCATCGTCACCATCATCACCATCATCACAATCACCATCACCATCACCATCACCATCATCATCACCACCATCATGAGCAGCAGCAGCATTATCATCATCAGCAGCAGCATCATCAGCATCAGAGGCAGCACCAGCACGATCGTCATCGGCATCCCGCATAGCAATCATCATCAGCATTGGCAACATCATCATCATCATCATCATCTTTATCCGAATCATTCGAATAATCATCATCATCAGAGTCATCATCATCATCATCATCGTCATCATCATCACAGTCGCCATCATCATCAAGAGCATCATCATCAGCATCATCATCAGCATCAGGATCGTCATTGCCAGCATCATTACAAGCAGCAGCATGATCGTCAACAGCATCATCATCATAGTAATCGTCATCAGCATCGTCATCATCATCGTCATCGTCAGTATTTTCATCAGCTGCAGCAACAACATCACGACCACCATCATCATCATCATCATCATCATCATCATCATCATCAGCATCGTCGTCGCCCTCGTCATCATCATCATCAGCAGCATCAGCACCATCACCGTCATCAGCATCAGCAGCAACAGCACCATTAGCATCAGCAGCGGTATCACCATCCGCATCATCAACACCATCATCATCAGCAACATCGTCCTCCTCAGCAGCATCATCATCGTCATAGTCATCAGCATCAACCTACTCAGCATCATCATCATCACCACCATCATCACCACCACCACCACCATCATCATCATCATCATCAGCATCAGCATCATCATCATCATCATCATCATCATCATCATCATCATCATCATCATCATCATCATCATCATCATCATCATCATCATCATCATCATCATCGTTAGCATTAGCATCATAATGAGACCGTGTTTTTCCAGTGGAGAAGACCTGCTACTATCTGACAGGGTTACACGCACAGCTGGGACCGTGTGAGATCGTTGTAACCACACGTCCTGAACATTCTGCAGAGTTGGGATTAGAAGAGAGGGATGGGAGAACGAATAGTTCGAAAGGGAGGGTGCCTTTTGATGCTTGAGCCCAATCGGTTGCGGAGTGCAACGCGAGGGAGGCAAGCCTGGACACGACACCCAAAAACCTTTCACATCATTCCCGCGCACGCACTAACATAATGAGACCGTGTTTTTTCCAGCGGAGAAGATCTGCTACTATCTGACAGGTTTACACGCACAGCTGGGACCGTGCGAAATCGTTGGAACCACGCGTCCTGAACATTCCAAACTTTCCAAACATCCCGAATTGAAGAGGGTTCACAAGGGGCGAAGGAGGGGAAGAGAGGAGGGGAAAACGAAAGCGCCCAAGACTTGAGGCTCCTTGGGCCCCGGTACGGACGGGGCCGCCATAATTGAAAGAACAAGAAGCGTGCTTTATAGCAGCGAGAGCCTTACCGAGGGCAGTGGCCAGGCGAGAGGGGCAAGGCTGAGCAATAGAAGTCCAAAGAACATTGTGTTCATTGCGGCCGCTCAATTCAATGTGACGGC